CTGGTTCACATAGGTCAACATTCAACCACTGAGTGAGCAACACCAGCCAGGCTGAAGAACTTTTTAAAAGAGTAACTTCTAATAAGATTAGTATAAATTTGAGATACATAACTGTATTTTTAACTGTTTCTTTCAAGCATGCTAGCTTGAGGAAATAATGGGCAGCATATCTTAGATGGAAAGAAAACAACCAGTATGTAACAGAGAAAGTGCCTACATAATAAGAGGTTAGTTTGAATGAGTTTAACATTTTATGCTTTTGGTTCAATGCTCTCTTGAGAGAATCAATGTGTTTCCCAAGCTTCACTTTCCTCTGAGTAAACTATGAAAGATAACTGCCTAGTCACTACAAAGGAAAACTGTAAAGAACTCAGGATATTTTAAATTTCTTAAACACACACACACACACACACACACACACACACACACACACACACGCCCTGGTTAATTGCATCTTTTAATTTCCCTAAAGTCTATCATAATTATAAGAAATCTACAGACAAAATCCTGTTTTGTGCAATAAATGTTTCTGAAAAGTTTGGCTGAAAAGGGTATTTTCAAACTGGATCCTGTCAAACACATTAGGATGTCTTATTATTAAAAAGACCACTTCCAAGTAAACTAACATTGATTGTTATTAAGAACAATCTCTTTCCACTGTATACAAACTCCTAGATTTTTGGAGGAATGCTCCCTTTGAAACAGAGCTTGCCATAGCCACCTGCATGCACACAACTTCCTTTGTCCTGTGCCTTATTTACCAGCCATCATCGACCCCGATTCCTGTCCTCAGGTTCACCTCTACTGTCTGAGACTTGATGTCTCCTGCTGTTCCCCTGGTTTATAAGTCAGCCCACTCCAGGACAGTTGCTTGGGCCTTGATCATCCACTTCAATCATGACCAAAACACCTCTCCCTCTTTTTGGCTTTGCTGTTTCTCTGTTGGACACAACTATTTAAAGAGATCCTGTCCTCTCAGGTGTCCTGAGCTGACTCTTCAGTCCACATCTCTTCCCTGTCCCCTATTCCTTTGCCACCTTGGCTCAATTTATTTGTTTTTTAAGCCTGGATTTTTATGTATTTCATTTTTTTCAAAGTTGAAATTACTTCAACTTATTGATTAGGGGTCTTCAGCTATTTGTAAAAAATTTTTTAAAAAATTAAAAAATGAAACAAATCAAAATAAGAGTAGGAACATAGCCAAGGTCCAGCAGTCTCTAGTCACTCTAGGCCTACTGAATCAGAAGCTCTGGGTTTGAGTTTAACCCTTTGTATTTTAGTAAGTCCTTTGGAGGGGTGATTTCATGCACACTGAAGTTGAAGAACTATTACTCCAAAAGCAAAGGGGGTGTCTGATAAATAGTTTGGACAAAATTAGGTATCTCAGTAAGTCTATATTATTGACAAAGAAGAATGTCTAAGATATTCTGTGTAATAAAACTATAGGTAAAAGGTAATTTAAAAAATTGTTAGAAGTGTTTTTCCACATGGAAATGTCTAGTAGGTTATGCAATAAACTGTTGAAGTGGTTAACTTAGGGGAAATTAATTTTCCTTTATGGATATTTGTGTTTTTAATCTATAAATATAACTATTTTTAAATTTTTTAAAAAATGTTTAATCTAGGCATCCTTTACTCCTCTCCGGCAACATTTGCAGGTAAAAATTAACTCAGTCCCAGGAGACTTCAGTGTCTGGACTAATCAAGCTCTGTGCTGCTTTGGGGAGTTCCAGAGGAAGTGGGGTAGAGATAGTGCTCAGTGCTCCATGACTCAATCAGTGCTTCTAGGGAAAGCTGCTGTACCAGGAAATGACAGGTCAGAAAGCCTGAGAGATTCTGCCTCAGTTAAACAGGACAACTTCTAAAAAGGGATGGTGGGGTTCTGAGAGAAAACAGAACAGACGTAAAACCTAAGGGTTTGCTTGGAAGACACCAATTTATTGCTGGGAAATTGTCTTTGTTGCAGAAATTCTGTATTTAAGTACCACTTTTCACCACCACCCCATGTTGTGATGGGGCAGTATTCTATCATTATATCATGCTGCGGACTAGTCCTTCTTCAAGCTGGCTCCAAGTAGATAGAGCATATGCATATGACAGACTAAAAGGGGGCTTAAAAATAAAACATGGAAAATAATCCATGGCAAGATAAGATAAAAGAGAGGTGAGTGTGTATAAACATATCCAAGATCAAGGGAGGTCCTAACAAATATCCTTCAGCTTATGGTGCATCATGGGAAAATCCTGAGGCTTCCACGGTTGCTCTCAAGGGACCACTCAATTCTTTCACCTCTGGCAAGTTTCCCATCAGAAGTATTATGCATATTCATAGAGGATCCCAAAGCACTTTACCTGTATTCATCATCATGTACAGAAGCCACTCAAGTGTAATTGTACATATCCTCTCCATCTAACTGCCTAAAAGCATGTGGATATGGCAGGAACAAAACATACAGTAGAGCCGTTGTCCCAGAAACCAGAGCAACTTGGTAAAAAAAAAAAAAAAAAAAAAAAAAAAAAAAAAAAAAAAAAAAGCAGCTTCCAGTGGTCTTGAATAATTAAATGATTCATCTTCACCAAAGGAAACCTACTTATACCAGAGATCTTTTTGCAATGAGCTAAGAAAATTAATAAATGTTGCCCCTGGAACCCTAACCACACCAGAAGACAAAAAATTACCAACGTCCCAATACTTTCAATGCTGTATGAAGAGAAAATTGTCCTGTGATTGGTGACTGCGGCCCACTTTTGAAGTGTCTGTAATTTTCTATGACTCTGCTTCATACAGTATTTGAGAGAAGGAAACAGAGGCACAATGTGAACATATGGTAGCAAGGAGATGGAGACTTGGTCTGCAGCATGACATAAAAGATAGAGCACAGGCCTGGAGTCGGAGTTTGAATCCAGCTCTAAATTATACTAGATTTGGGGCAAATGACCCCACCTCTCTGATCCTCAGTGTCCTTTTCAATAATTTGGAAATAATAAACTACTTTATAGAGTTGCTAAAGTGATCACAAGTATGCAAGAAGGAAGGTGGAATAATGAGGTAGCGAGGTAGCGTTTAAGGGGTACATTTTAAAGTTCTGGAGGTGGACAGTAATCATAGTCACACTACAATGTGAATGCACTTAATGCCACTGAACTGTACACGCAAAAACAGTTAGAAAGGTAAATTTCATTATGTATATTTTACCATTATTTTTAAAAAAAATATGTAAGCCACAGTGCCTGGCTCTCAGTATGTGTTCAAGAAATGCTAGTCTTATTCCACTTATAAAGAACTTTAAATGAAAGGAGAAAAGGAGATGTGAAAAGTCAAACAATCATGCTCCTTTCCCAATTTAACTGTGAGTGGCTCTGACTCTCAGGCTGAGCCAGCTGGCACCCCTGCCAGGTAGTGCCACAGTAAGTGTCAGGGTAGGAGAAGAGAGGCTGTGTTAGTCATAATCCCTCCAGCATGTTCAGTTCCCAGTCCACCCCCACCCGAGTATGGCAACTCCCAGAATATCAGTCCCACAGCCCCAGCATCTTGCAAAGAAAGCTGGGAAATTTAAACCATTTCCCAGACCAGACTCCAGGTCATGAGGACAAAAGCATTCGCAATAACAGCTGGCTCCTGTAAGTTGGGGAGAGACAAAATGCTAATGCTGAACACCAACTGGATGGGTCTGGAGCCTGTTCCAGTCCCCAGCATTAAGCTGATCAGTATCTCAGATGCTTTTGGCCGAGTTTAATGGACACAGAAAACAATAGTCTCAAAGACTTGATAAAGGAAAATTAAAAATGCACTTGTCTGCAGTTCAGAGAAAACAGTTAATGATTATGTATTGTTCTAATAAGCCAGAAAGTACAGAAAGGGAAAATAGAAGACTTATCTCTAAGCATATTAGCACACTGCTTCTGATGGACAGGATTAATTAGATCTTGATGTAGTCTTTTTTTCTCTCTCAAATAAATTTTTATTGATTTCAGAGAGAAAGGAAGAGGGAGAGAGAGATAGAAACATCAATGATGAGAGACAATCATTGACCAGCTGCCTCCTGCATGGGAATAGAACTTACAACACAGATATGTGCCCAACTGGGTTCATAAATCCATGCTCAACTCCTGAACCATGCCAGCTGGGCTTGATGCAGTGTTCTGATATATAATTGTTAACATCCCTTGAACTTAGTTCAAAGAGAATGAAATACAGGTTTCCCTGTTCCTATGAAACTTTTAAAAATATATATATATTATTGATTTTTTTAAAGAGAGGAAGATAGAGTCAGAAACATTGATGGGAGAGAAACATCAATCAGCTGCCTCCTGCACACTTCCCACTGAGGATGTGCCCACAACCAAGGTACAAGCCCTTGACTAGAATCGAACCTGGGACCTTTCAGTCTGCAGGCCAATGCTCTATCCACTGAGCCTAACTAGTCGGGGTGCTATGAAACTTTTGTAAGCTGAAATGGCGTAACACAAAGACACATTTACCATTCATTTATATGGAAAATATTCTTAGTGTTTCCAGAACCCAAAAAATCACGTACCAAATCACACTAAATATGCTTATTTACCAGTTTTACACTAAGTGAAAAACCCTTGGGAGCTCTCTGAGGCTTTTCTGATATCTTAGGACACATCTTGCTAACGAATGCACAAAATAAATGGAGATAAAACACAGGTGCTCACAGACACAGTCAAAGCTATAGCAGTGGGTACTGGGATGCTGAGTGTAACTCTTCAGGAAGGAACTTGGCAGGGCCACTTGTTCCTCGGGGTTGTGCTGCCTCTAACAGCTCCTTGCAAAACAAAGGCTGAAGGCTATTTTCACTTTTCTTCATAAAAGCGATAAAAGCGAAAATTCGCTCCAGATTTCTTTCAGTTAGTGAAAACAGGTACTAAGGCAGGTCTTTCATAAAAAAGCAAAGTAGGGTAAAGCGAACTTGCAAAAAGTGGGAGATACCCGTAGTTGGGGTACCAATAGTCAATAAATTCAAAACCATACTTACTTTAGGGTCTGAGCTCTTGAACTTTAACCTTTCCACCAATTCTATCATAGCCGCCTTTAATCCGCCAGAGTCTTTGCTCTAGAAAAAAGAAAAGTGGAATCATTAGACAGCATTTTATTGCGCTCTCGAACACAATCAGCATTTCATGGGACAATGAAATGGAAAGCAATTTTTTTTTTTTCTCAGCCAAGAAAATGAAACAACTAAGGGGAGCTGTGTTGTCCCTCTTCCTCTTCTCTAAGGATAAAGAGGGCCAGGACACACATTGACCAGTGACCTGGAATGAAAATTAAATGCAATGTGTACAGGCTGACTCGCTGCTTCATCTCAGTGCTCAGCTGTGCCAGTGCTCACTTAGGGCTGGGCTCTGCAAAAGAGATTTCCTTCTGAGATGTCTATTTAATGACCTAGTGATTTTTATTTTTAATTTCTACACACTAAATACTGAAGTATGTAATATTAACATTCTTAGAAAAACAAACTCAAAGAAAATGCCCCAAAATATCATTGGAAATGGTATTATAGTGTGCTGGTTGAGTACAGGTATTTTTAGTCAGACATCAATGGTTTCACATTTGGGGTCTGCCATTAACTAGTTGACTAATCTCTGGCAAATTATTGACCTTCCCAAAACCTTCTCCATCCATAAAATGGGGATAATGAATAGACCTATTTGGAGGCTTAGTTGACATAGTGTTTGTAAAGGTATTAACACAGTATGTGGTACACAGTAAGTGCTCAATAAATGTCACCTACTACTATTACCATTATTCCAATAAAAATGTAATGTAAGCCACAAATGCAAGCCATGCATGTAATTTTAAGTTTTCTAGTAGCCAAAATAAAAATAAAGTGAAATTAAGTTTAATACATTTAACTTAACTCAGTATATCCAAAATATCATCAATGCAACATGCAATTTCAACATGAGATATTCAAATATTTTTTTTTCATACTAGGTCTTTGAAATCTAGTGTGTACTTCATACTTACAGCTCAATTCAGCTTGGACTAGCCATATTCTGAGTGCTCCAAAGCCATATTTGGCTAGTGACTGCTGAATTAGCACAGATTTAGAGCATACTAGTAGAATCTTAGAGCCAAAAATTCAAGTCCCAAATCAGCACTAGTGCGTGACCGTAGACAAGTCACTTAGCCTCTCTCTTATCTGTAACATTAAGTTAAACATAATATCTATTTCATAAAGGTTCTAGTAAGATTAAATTAGCTAATATTTATCAAGGTGTTCAGAACAGAGCCTGGTACATGGTAAATGCAATAGATGTATGAGACTTTTTAAATTATTGTCTGTCTCCCTCACAATTTTTAAATTCCTGAAGGGTAAGCACCACATTTTTTATCTCTGTATCTGTGCCCAACATCAAGAAGGTATTTAAAAATGTCTCCTGAATAAAAGAATGAACATACAAATTTAAGACATTCATGTCCCAATAATAATACATGTATGCAGCACAATCTAAAACCACATGAATTAGTTTTATTTTCTAATCTCAACTCCTCTAAGGGATAGGGTAGAATCATCACCCTCATTTTACTACCATGTTTCCCTGAAAATAAGACAGTGTCTTATATTAATTTTTTCTCCCAAAGTTGCGCTAGGTCTTATTTTCAGGGGATGTCTTATCTTTCCATGCACTAGGTCTTATTTTCGGAGGATGTCTTATTTTCGAGGAAACACGGGTAGTGATGAAAATGAAATGTGAAGAAGTAAAATGGTTACCATTTTTATGGAGCAGGGAGAACAATAAAGAAGTACAATATAAATAATATAAATATCTGTTCCTTAAAATTGTCCTCTGAATCGGTTATATTTGTCAAATATGTAGAACCAACTCCAATTCCTCCAAAACAGGAAATATGTACTTTGTAGCTACCCATCATACAGATTAAAATAGACTACAGGCTAAATCTTTTTTCCCCATTTCCTTTCTCTCCCAAACCTATATAGAAACAATCTGATGTAAGGTGACTAAGGCAGATACCCGTTTTAGTGGACATTCCCATTTCAGCTATGGTCCTAAAATTTAATAATATGTATGTTTAAAATGATGATTTACAACTCTCCAAATTTCTTCTCCAATTTAAATCTTTAACTTCGGTGGCATCACAGTAGACAACTGGGAAAGGAATCTGGAGGTCACATACCAGAGAGTGGGGGAGACACAAAGAATCTAAAAACGGGTGAAGTGGCCAGACACAACCTTGCATTTATGAGATGATCAGACAATAAAGCCTGTCTGGTGATACCATTCCTCTAACCTGTTTCTCATTGGCTGAACGAGCAGGTCACTTGTCCCTGGAAAGCTCTTTTCTCTCACATCCCAGCTGCCAGAGCCCATTTTAAGCTCCTCAGCAAAAGCCCTGATATATTATGACTTTCCCCCTGGCTCTAGAGCACAGACAGGAATGTGTGAGACTGTGCCTTAAAAGATTCAGAAAGGAAACAGAACTATGAAGGAATCCCTAAGAAGCAGACAGCCTGTTTGCAGGCAGATATGCCTTGTGTGGAGAGATAAGGGAACCCTTAGCCTTCTTTCATAAAAATACAGTGTGTCAGCAGAATCCTTTCTCCTTTTAACAAAGCATCAGCAGCACTGCCGGCCCTGGGGACAGAAAGGGGAGGTACAGAGGCTCTTCCTTCAGGAAATCCACCATTCCATCTCCCCATACCACTCTCTTTGAAGATTCCTCTCCAAGCTCAATTGGGATCTATACTGAGCCAGCTATACTCAGTCTCTACCTGGGTGGTGAAAAACCTTCCCCTGTGGCATTTTTTAGCCCATAAAATAAGCAGTTGGTCAGAAGGGAGAGGCTCCCCTGGGCAGACCTCTTCCTGACAACTGTAGGGCCGGGCTAGAGTACAAATGGAGGACCCCCCCCCCCCCAGTCCACCAACTTTCTCTTTCCACACCCCACTCCTTTCCCAAAGTCCTTTCCTTACGAAGCCTTAGACACATTCAAACTAGTTACACTTAAGTTCTAGGAACATCCCTCTCAAGTAGTTGTCCTTGACCACCCTGACCTTGGAAAGCACATGTCAGGGGTGGGGTCTAATGGCTGATTCATCTTTTGGAGAATGAATTTAGAAAGAGGCTCTGCAGGTCCTGGAAGTAGGTTCAATGCAATTCATCAGGTAATTCTTAGATCCTTGGAATTCGGAGAGGGGTCTAGAAGGAGATGAATATGGCCAAAGAAGCGTCCTCTAAAGCATGGGGCATAAGGAAGGGCTTGTCTAGATCTAAGGTGCTTTTGAGTATGCGTGCCCCAGGATGTTATCAGGTTTTAGTCAATTATTTGTTTGCAATAAGACAGAAGGGAATGGGAACAGGAGATTTTTCTTATACTTCCCTTCCCTGGGGAAATAGAACAGCTGCCTCTGAAACCTGTGTTCAAACTGAGAAGACAGCCAGAATAGTAACAAAAGGCAAGCTAATTCTAACCTTGTGGACATTTGGTTCCACAAATGGGCAGATTCTACTCTGTCAATTCTTGGGGCGTGTATTGTGAGAGGCAAAGAAATCAAATCGTCCTGATACTGGTCTTCTTCACCTTCATCCCACACAATGCATTCCAAGAACATGGAATTCAATGTGAGCACATCTTGTTTATGCACCTCTTTCTTCCCCTACAAGAGGGTAGAATAAAAAGAGACAAGTGCTATGTTGTGACACCCTGCCTACTCCTCAAGTCTGATCCATTGGTAGAGATGTGGGATGCTTCACAAAAGCCAGCTCCTAGGGATGAGTCTTAACACCAAGAAAAAACAAAAATACATTATGTGTAAAGATATATTCTTTACTCTCCAATGCACTTTCATATGATTTTCTATTGGTATTTCACAATAAACCTAAAAAGTATTATATTCTCACTTTATATTTGAGAAACTGGCTGGTAGAAATAAAAAAAAGAAAAAGAAATGCCTGCAGGAACACCCAAATTGCAGACACTCCTACACTGGCATTTCATAGTAACAATACTTCTTAGTATATTCTCACTTCATAATGGAGGGAAATGGTTCTGTGGAAGTCAAATAATGTTCCCAAAATTATAGAGCTAGTAAACAACAAAACTAGGATTAGAAAGATCCAAATGAGAAAGAGTAAAAATACAACAGAAGAGCTTGGCATCAAGAACACACAAGAAAAATACCTAAGGTTTTCCTATAAATAAGAAAAAGACAAATGGGCCCCAAAAAAATCCCAACAAAGGGTATGAACATTATAGAAATGTCAAATGGCTAATAAACATATGAAAAGATGTTTTAAAAAGCTCAAATTACTTAATCAGCATATGTCTCATCCATTATATTGAAAATAGTTTTGATTTGATAATATCAAATGATGCGGGACTCTGGGGAAACTAGGGACTTTCATATATTGCTGATATAAAATGATCAAGCTACTTTGAAGTCACATGCCTAGCAAATCCATTTCTCTCTTTTACCGTTTGAGAAATACTAGCACATGTGTCTAGAAGGCATGCACAAAAATATTTATTGCAGCACTGTTTATAATACTGAATAATTGAAAATATTCTAAGTATCCATCAATAGCAGGTGACTTGCCCTAGCAGGACTGGCTCAGTGGATAGAGTGTGGACCTGCAGATCGAAGGGTCTTGGATTCGAGTCCTGTGAAGGGCATGCACCTTCCTAGACTGGAAATTGCAGGCTTCTCCCTGACCCAGGCCCTGGTTGGGGCTCCTGCAGGAGGCAACTAATCCACATGTTTTTCTCACATTGATATTTCTGTCTTTCCCTCTCTCTAAAAATCAATGGAAAATATCCTTGGGTGAGGATAAAAGATAAAAAATAGTGGGTGGCTACATAAATTACAGAGTTAACCAACTGTAAAATATGATATAGCAAATCAAAATTAAGTAATCTCTATGTATCTGAATATGAGACAAGGCATAATGTTGAATTAAACTTGCAAAATGCTATGTTCATTTTTTTTTTTTATAAAAACACAAAACTCTTATTTTCTATGGGTGAAGTATATATGTATGTAAAAAAATTAGAAGAGCAATGATTTGAGGGAACAGTATCAGAAATAGTAGT